ATTTGAAGTTTTGGAGATTTGTGATTTCATACTATGTAACCTTTGAGGGAGAAGAATCTCTACAACCTTTGGAGAAGATTTCTAAACCCTCTTGCTTATTATTTATTGATTCAGACATGTGTTTTTCATATTTATTCTCTGTGATTTCTCTGTCCATGGCTGAGTAGTCACTTGTTAGGTTTAGGGTGTTAGGGGACATGGATTCATGAGCAAGACACAAATAGGATTGTTATTCTTTGATATCTCTATCTATTGCTATGCTTACTGCTTGTGTTAATCTGGCCATTCAATATTTGATATTAGGTTTAATCTAATCATCCAAAGTGTTTTAGGTTGCTAGAAAAAGCATAGATAGGCAATTTTTCCGTAGGCAACGAGAGCTGATGTTAAGGCAAATCGTGAACCAATTGAATATGATCTTAGTGCTTGTCATTAGTCTCTAATCAAAACGATAGTTTAGGTATTAGGATTGTTTGATAAATTGGTAGACACCACGACAGTGGGTTTATTTAATCATGTTGTTCAAGTTCTAGATTGGCTCTTACTGTTTTCCTGAATAGTTGTGTAGCTCATGATCCTAAGTATCCCAATGAATCACCCTGAACCTAGCTCTTTTATTATCTGAAACCAAACCAACTTGTTACTTGCTTTTTACGATTTCTTCTCTTTATAAAAAAAACCACATATTTTTTTACCTTAATATTGATCCCATAAAAATAAAGTGTAATAGTTGGTCTCTGTGGATTCGATCCTCAAGTACTACATCGAACCTCTTATTTAAGAGAGTAGCTTGAAGGTTAATTTGAGCCTCTAATTGAGTAATTATTTTGTGAGTGATACACGTGACACTCCCATATTTTTTTATTTAATGACATGGTTTTATAAGAAATGAGGGAAAACATACTTTATATATATAAAATAGGAAAAAACCCGCCCTACGAACATTTAAATAATAAATATTTATTTATATTCTTAAATTTATATTTAACTAAAAATGTGATTAAGATTTATAATTATCTTACAGTAGTTTTATGTATTAAAATATTTATTTTAGAAAATATAAAATTTTCTAACTATATAAAAATATAATTATTTAATTTCTCTTAATCTTTATATTAGTTTAACTATACCAATAAGACACATAATTTTTTTGTTGCAAAGCACTATAAAACATTAGATTTGTTTTTTAAATTCATGTTTATTATTAGAAGTTTTACTATATAAAATTTATAAATCGTTATCTTTTTATTCTCTTACTTTATTTATCAATTTTTACACTTAAAGTATTTGATCTTGTGATATTCAATCTTAATTTTGTTGCAGTTAACTAAATTTCATAATATAAGGTTAAAAATTAGTGGGTCATTTTATTTTGGCAATGTGAATATTTGATATGCTTGTTTTATTTAGATCAATTAGTCTGATTTTTACAATGATTGTCGTTGTGTGTTTATTTTGTATTATACCTTATTGGTTTTGAAGATCCTCTTCCTTTCGAGTTTGAAACAGGTTTTGTTTCTCTGTATCTTCTTTTTCATCTTTCTTTTATAATCTATGGCTCTGTGTTCTCAGAATTTTTGTAGTTATTCCATATCAGGTACACTGGTGTTGGGAGCAGAGGAAGATGAATTATTCTACTAAATTAAATCTGAGAGCAAATTCAAAGAAGCCCCTCTTATACAGTTAAATAAAGGATCTCGCTGCTCTTGTTTATGAAGATGGTAATTATAAAACTTTCCATTTTTAACTCATACTCAGTTACTTTTTGAATTGAGAATCATGAGCTCTTGTTTTCACGGTTGAGGCCTACGATAGATCTCTTCCTTGGAATCTGCTACATATTCATGAACTTGGACTAATGTAACAATGAGCCGGATTTATTCACGATGCTCAACTCAACAGTTTTCATCTTCAAGTTAAGAGGCATTTCCTCTTTTCAAGTGCTAAATATGATCTATAATAAACATGTTGGACTGGCTTCTCCTACTTTTGAAATCCAATTTCTGATATACCGAGAGAAACCTATGTGAGTCGCAGCTCGCTTAGAAATAGATGAAAAAGACGAAAAAAGTTTAAAGGATTTGAGACTGGACCTTATGAAAGGCTGCCTACGTATCCTTTTCGAGGATCAAGTCAAACGTAGTTCAGTTAAAAGGATTTGAACAGTAGATCGAACTGCCTAGGCGAGTTCGTCTAATATTTGTGTGCCAGACATAGAAACCGAGCTTGTTGAGAATAAAGATTAGGGTTTCTAAGTGCAGAGAGTTCTGAATCTCCAAGTTCTGCCCTTTGCCTCTCGTCTAGGACTCCTTATATACTCCCTCCTAGGTTGGTCTATGCTTTTCCCCTTCTGCCCTTAAGCCGTCATAGCTCAAAAAATGGAGATATTTCATTTCCCGATCTTCATAATTATCTTCGGAAACTTAACATTTATCCGATGAAAGTTGACATTTATCGTAACCCAGTCCAAACCGCCATAGTGTTTATGGGCTTTTGGTTAAGAAATCATAAGTGGGCTTCTAGTCGCTTTTTAGGCCTCTTTGGGCCGTCTTTCAACTTGAAACGTTTATTATGGTTTCTTTGATAAGAACAAACTTTCTGCGGTATTTATCGTAAAGTTTGAATGATGACTCCGATTGATAAAGAACAAGGAGTGGTTAAGCCGTGGCCTACGGGAGATAGCATTAAAGAGTAGAGGAGAATGTAGAGATTCGTGTTGTATTGATGTTCGGGAGAATCAGGTCGCTACGTAGTGACCCAGACTATGCATGAGCTGGTCGCTATGTAGCGACCGAGCGTGTACGTGCTCGGTCTCTACGTAGCGACCAAGCTTTAGCTTGAGCTCGGTTGCTACGTAGCGACCGATTGTGTACGTGCTCGGTCACTAAGTAGCGACCGAGCTTGGCTCGAACTTGGTCGTTATGCAACGACCGAGCTTGGCTCTTACGTGGTTCGATTGCCATGCTTGATCCGGTCTGTGACTGGTTCGGATATTTGTCTGTTGCTCTCGGACGATTGTGTTTAGTTTTTAGCGGGTCGATTGAGGATTTTTGAATCCTATCGAAGAATGTTTCTGCAAAGCTTTTTTTCCGGAAAATCATTTTTTAGAGAAATGTTATTATTCATTTTTAAAAAAATATTTCGCCATTGATTCTGTCGTGACCGATTTTGACCCTAACACTGGCCCAAGTTTCCACATATTAAACCCTCTTCCTATTTGAGACTATATTTAGGTTTATTAAATTGTTGTATGAGAGATTAATACTTTCAAGAGATTGGTAGATGTTTTAGGACAGAAAAATCAGAACTCACTTTGTAAAGAGAAGATTTCGACCTCCTATATTTTTCTTTTGATTTCTTAATGCAATTTATTTAATTAATATTTTTCCATATCATGTATGAGTAATCTGCTTGTTAGATTTATGGTTTTTCAAAGATTAAAGATGAATTATTAGATTAGACAGACTCTTTAGGATAATCTAATGGTTATTCATTTGGATTGAAATTAATGATAGTTTTAGATCGATCAACTGGAACTTAGATCATATGAATATTGATAGACATGAAAGTGTTACTGATTTCTTGACTTAATCTTAGATGAGTAAAATACTTATATGCAAAGAAGTTTGGATTAGTGATTTTGTGGACTTATCAAACCTATGTTTAATGCTTGTCTGAATTGTTGAATTTAGAAAGAAATTTTGATCTCTGCAACGAACGTTGATTGATTTGAATATTATGATTTAGTTTCAAGAACGGCTCTTAAAAAAACCCTATATATCTGCAATTTTTGTTTATCTCATAATATTTCTAGGTCTAGCGCTTTTCCTAATCGAATTTAGAACCATTTAAGGTTCTCTTTCATTTACATTACATTCATTTTTTGTTTGGCTTTATTCAAAACAGATAGTTATTGAGCAATCTGGAGTTCTTTGGATTCGACCCTGGATACTACGACTACACCTCTGAAATTAGGGATTATATATATCGAGTTGCGAATTAATTCATTCCAAAATTAAACCTTATTTAATAACTAGGTATGAACCCGTGTGATGCACGGGTTTCAATTGATGTTTTAATTTCATGAAAACATAAAAATGAGAAAAATAAATTTGCAATCGTTGGATTTTTGCATATATTGCGTGAAACTTATTTTAGGAATAGAAATTGTTTTTCCACATAAGTTTTGATTAGTATTTATGTTTCAGTAATATTTTTTTTTTCTTGATCATGTTTCAGTAATGATAGTAGATAAACAGCTATTAGCAATTTTGAATTTAAGGGTAGAGAAAAAATCTAAACCCAAAAATTTAAATTGAATCTAACCGTGAAAAATATGAATTATAATAAAATACAATAAATTTGAAAGTTGAATCAAGGAAATCGAATAGGTGATAATATATGCACTTTATAGAATTTCTCTACCTTAAAAGAAAATGTAGTGAATAAAATTACATCTCTATATTTAGAGACAAAATAGCCTTACTTTATATTTATATAAAAATAAAAATAAAAACTCTATTACAAAATCATACAATAAAGCAAATATACTTTTATAATACAATTTCACTATTCAAAAAAAAAATACTAATGGATCTATAAGTGAATTGGAAATTATCTTATTGGTTTATTAAGGGAAAACATTGGATGAACATTTTTATCATGTAATCTATAGGTAATGAAACTATTGATACATTATGCATTTTAATACTATTTTAATTCTTATAGCCACAAACATTTATGTTGTAAAAACCATGTTTTTGAATCTTTATTGTCTAAATAACTATTTATGAATAGAACTTACTAATTAAAATTTTATGGCGACCACAGCTATGATAAAAAATAAATAACAATCATACATAGTACTAGAAACATACTAGTGTCAAATGGCATACTAGTGCTGATGCTCATTGAAAAAATAGTACTAGAAACATACTAGTGTCAAATGGCATTCATTGTAATAATCATACATAAGAAACAAAGAAGAAAAAAGTAGACTTACAAGTCTGTTCTTCCTGCACGATCCTACTTGTCATCGGGAGATAGAGTCATTGATTTCTTATCTTGGAGTTGCACAAAAAAACATCGCAGTAAGAAACTGGAACTAGTCAGGAAACTTCCTCGTGACAAGATATATTACTCAAAGTCAAACAGATCATGCGAATTAATTAGAACCAAGCTAGATGACTAAAGGTGAGACCTTTTCGAGCTGGTTAATGAGGGACATGAGGATTCGAGAGAGAGAGAACCTTTCGTGTTCGGAATGATTCGGGTCTGCAGAGAAGAGAGAGAGCTCGAGGTCTACGGACAAGAGAGAGAGAACTCGAGGTTTCAGGTGACTGCAATAAAACAATGAAACAATGAGGAAAAGCCCTAAGTTATTGAGAACGAGTTCAAACTTAGATCTGAAGCTTGGAGGCAAGAATTGAAGAATTCTTTTCATTATATATTTAGTAGACTTAGAGCATCATTATCCCTATAACCCCATTTAGGTTTCTTAATGACTTGTTTAATAATAAAAGTTAGTTAAGAAATTTAGTTAAGAAACCGATAGATTTTATGCTACATTGGAAGTTTCTTATATAAGGATTCTTAAAAAAAAATCATGACTTGATAATTGTTACTAAGCACAGAGACCAAAATCAAATGTTCCACAAGATATGTATCATTTAGTCTCTAAATGCTTGGCCTTACGTTGAGGCTCAACGGCTTGCAAGTTTCTGTCCCACAGATCGATCAGCCTGAGACATTGTTTGGAATGTTAGTTTTGTCGAAAAATGGTGTAAAAAGCAAAGTAGGAAGCACTGAGTTTCTTCTTACCTGAGACCAGTAAGAGATCCAGACTCTGCGGACGTGGCTCTGACAATTTCTCAACCCATCTCTTTACAAACCTGTCTTGCCTGCAACCATAAGTAAACATTATGTTAATTTTTGTCTTGTGAGTTTTTGTGAGAGTTATGCAAGAGAGAGATGAGACTTCTTATTTACCTGTCTGGTGCCCATGATCTGTATCTATCTCCAGGCTGTTTGAAGTTGTTCTCCTTGATAATACACTGCAGCATTAGCAATGAAAGTTTGTTTCAGGACACGATTCTAATAAAAGGTTTTGAAGATGTAAAGGAGGCATGGCACGTGAATCATAGACCAATCAAAACACACCTACTAGTTACTCGAAGTAAAGACAAGTAAAATCAAACAGAGCAAAGACTTATATAATAAAACATGACTTGATAATTGTTACTAAGCACAGAGACCAAAACCAAATGTTCCACAACCAAAACTCCACACTCTAGCAATCAGAAGAACAAAACCTATCTTAACCCTAACAAATGCATTCAAACAAAATCATTCTAGACAGTCTATGTATACTCTAAACACTAGCTGCAGCATCATATAAAGAGAAAATTTCACTAAAATTAACCAAAAACTTGTAACAAATCAGATCATCACCTTACATTAAACTTCGAAACATTCAAACTGATTCATAGACAGGAAAATCCAAGCTCTCAAGCAACTTAACATGAAACAACTTACCATTCTTCCACTTCCCTGGAATCGAATCAGCGATCCCCTCCATATCCGCCACAACACTACAAGTCCCCGTCGCGGCAACAACCTCCTCTCCGTGAAGTACATCTCGTGCCCCTTCCCTTCCTCTACCCCTACCTTTTTCAACTCCCTCTTAAGCTTCGAGACTTTGATCACGGTGGTGATGGGAATATTCTCGGATTCGATCTTTTTCAGAGCTGTCTTCTCTGTGATTTTGTTCTTGAGCTTATGGTGAGGTATCATTAGTGGATTGTTGCGATTGATTTGGAGAGGTTTCTTTAGGGTTACGACTACGTCGTCATCCTCACAGAGAAGACGGAGAAGAGAAGAAACAAAAAAAATAAACTAAAGAGAGAAAAACAAATATTTACCTTGTGCTGACACATGGGTTTAAAACCCCCCTAAAGATCGGTGTCAAATTTTGAATTAAAGATCGGTTATCCCCATTTAATTTACTTTTGATTTAATTAAGTCAGTAACTTAGCTAAAAAACTCCCCTTAAGAAACCGCAATAACGGTGCTCTTAGAATATATTTTTTTGATAAAATTTTAATTTACATTTTAATTCATATATAAATAAAATTAATTTTAAAATAATTTTTTTTTGTAATCATTAATTATAGTAGATTAAAAGAGACCTCTACTATCGAAGTAGACTTTACCATAAGTATTGGCGCCAATAGGAAAAAATAGACTCCAAAATTCATTTTCCCTTTCCACTTAGTTAATTTTAATTTTAAAATATTATTTTGATAAACACCAATTAATGTAGACTGAAATAGACGTCTACATATAAGTAGACTTTACTGTAAGTCTACTATACCCTAAATATTGGCGCCAATATGCAAAAATAGGCTCCAAAATTCATTTTCACTTCCCGCTTAGTTAATTTTAATTTTGCAATATTTTTTTTGATAAACACCAATTAATATAGACTGAAATAGACGTCTACATATAAGTAGACTTTACTGTAAGTCTACTATACCCTAAATATTGGCGCCAATATGCAAAAATAGGCTCCAAAATTCATTTTCACTTCACGCTTAGTTAATTTTAATTTTGAAATAATTTATTTTGGTAAACACAAATTAACGTAAACTGAAATAGACGTCTACATATAAGTAGACTTAACTGTAAGTCTACTATACCCTAAACCACAAATCCCAAACCCTAAACCCCAAATCTCAAACCCTAAACGTTTGATTGATTGTAAAAAAAATCTTAGTCATTGTACCAAATATCATATATATATAAAATATAAACTACTCAACATTAAATATGCAATTTTGAATAATTAAAACAAAATAATTCTAAATCTAGAATCTAACTCTAAAAGACATAACATGTTAGAACCTTTGGTTGCTAATGTAGGAATTCATACCGGTTTATAACAATTTATAAATCAACTTATGAATTCTATTTGCCTAGAATTTCATGCCAATACCGAAATAATCTAGATCTTTAGGTTCTTCGAATATACCTGGTTATTCTGCAGCGAAAAGATGAATAAACCAAGTCGAGATTTCAAGCACTCCAAACGTCGTGCCTCTATCGGTATCCACACGCACACAAAATGGATCGATACGGGATGCTAGTGCCGTCGAGATCTAATCTCAAAAACTTGACAAACTCTTTTGTCTCTTTTAGGGTTTAGCCGTCACATTCTCTTTTGTTTTGTATATCACTAACAAAACGTCAACTTCATAACATTATATACTTACGTGCATCAAACCTAATTCTAATCAGATTAGAATTATGAACTAAGCCCATTAATATTAATTAGTCTAGCCCACGTGAAATCACTATTGCATATTACATGCATATATAAGTTACGTACATATCACATATGTATGTATTATATCTATATTATATATCATATATATATAATACAAATATAAACCCTAAAATAATTATAATCCAATTTGCTTAGGTGTGTGACCCTATAGGATCATATAATATTAGTAATAGATTCTCAATCTATAGATTATAAGCGGTTTCTAGCAAAACATTACAACCACCTAATTTTATATGATTGTCATACCTCGACGTTTCGACTTTAACCAGAGTAAGTACAAATGATTTTAGGACATTCCGAACAATCTCCCACTTGTACTAGAATCATCTATTCTTATAATCCATTTGTCTCTATATCTCGATCCCAGTATAAGGCAAGAACTAGTGTCATCCTTATTAAGCTAGATCATGTTTATCGAACTCTGATTTCTACTGATAAAACAAACGACTGACATTCACCTCGTTTGAGCATGGCCATGCATTTCTCAGTATCAAATCTTCGATAGGCCCATAGATATTTATCTCCCGTTATATGGGAGGGACAAATCCCATCTTGTTCCATCCATGTTCTTTACAAACTTCATAGAACACCTAATCAATGCCTTTATAATCACCAGTTACGACTGACGTTTGACAAGGTCAAAGTGAACTAATCCATCAATAAAGAATCATGACGAACTCAGGTCTAAGGACTATACTCTATAGTCGTAATGAAAAACTCTTATGACACTCATATAATAATCTTGTAGAGTTCTCATAACGGGTCAGTCCGATCATGTGTTCCCTAACACATATCCATGTGATTGACTTCAATACCACATATTGAATGACTCCATGAAACGTAGACATCAATCACCTCACATACTAGCCATTCATGGTTATAAATGTCCCACGTTAACAACCTTGACTAGGGACCTCAATAATTTATAACATCTTTCATTTATAGGGTTTCATGATCAAGTCACGCACTTGATGGCCTATAAGAATAATATAAATTATTTTGGGACATTTATTTAATTATCCAATAATCAAATAAATCTGAAACAATTTCATTAGTTTGAATACATATTCAAATGTATGTCAATATGAACATCATATCATAAACGTAAAATCTCCCACTAAAATCAAGATCACATCTTAATATACTTAATGACCACAACTGCAGCATGACTCTC